TGCTGAAATGTAAGTTTAGATTTCAAAGTATAAAGAGTTGGAAGTCAGTGTCATATTTGTTTCTTCAGTTACATACTTACCAGATCACTTTTAGTAGCTCCCAGCCCTTCTCTCTGGTAAAGTGCCAAAGACAATTCCTGCGAGTGATAAACATCAGAAGCATCAAAAGAATCTGGACGCTCAAACTTGCCCCATTGATTCTGGATTGCAAGCTTAGCAATCTCGTACGAATCATGGCCTCTAGACTCGGTCCTTCCCCTGTGCATAACATCTCCATTTTCATGCCTTTTCAAATCAAAATTATTCTTTGCATGCAACGCAACCGAAGGTTCTACTGGATTAAAAATGTTTCCTCTTGATATAGATCGAGTGTGGGATCTTGTGGGCACGTCGTCTTTTCGTCTTTTAGCCCATGCAAAGCCGCTTGACGTGGAAACCTGTAGTGGGCCCGAAAACGGTATGTCTCCTTGAGATTCATTCTTTATGTGCAAGGCCTCTTCTTCTTTATCAGTTGATGGTTTTGCGACCTCCCCGGATGAGATGCCATTTTCATCTTTGAGAATATGTATATGACAACCATTGCTTTTACGCGAGTCATGAGTTTGGGCTGCCAAGTCCTGCAAGGTAAAGTTGAGCTGATCATTAGTACCTAGCTTCCTTAGAAACTCTAGCACTTAAATATATCAGCATTTACTTAAATTAGAACTTTTGTAGACAAAGAAAGAGACCTCTGCTGGTGCCAATTTGCTGATTACAACGGGTTTTCTTGTCGGCTTTCTTGTTTCGGGCCCACGAACTCTCCCACTGCTCTTCTTTCTGAAATTTCAGTAAACACATACTCAATACTTTCTCAAAAAGAACAGTACACTGAATGTTTAATATAACAGATGAACCAGGAAAATATGAGTCAATAATACGAGTCACGAGTGTATTGAACTATAAAGCCTATGTACAAGGTATCATATACTAATCTGTGTATTAAAGTGAATAAGTTCATCATAACACAAAAATAGAATGCTCACCTCTTTGCCTCCTCCCGGTTTTTAGCATCAATCTCTTTGCTAGGTGGGTACACCGGCAAGCTTGACGGATCACATGCATAAGGCTTTGTCGAAAAGTACTGAAAGTGACACAGAAAGAATACTGTGTTATACGTAAATCACAATGAATATGAAGGCTAAACAGGTAGAAGTTTTACAGATAGTCTCTTGTTATTCTTTTAAGGCACACAAGCACAAGAACAAGAATCAACATTAAGTAAAATGTAACAGACACAGATACGAGATAAATTTCCTTGTCGCCAGCAACAAAAGAAAAAAAAAATACAACGTAGCTGCTTTATTACCTCAGACGCAAGAGCCAAGGAGGCAGTCCCGCGTTTGTATGGTTCGACAGAAAGAAGTGTCTCGAGAAGGGTTACGTTTGTTGTGGGACAATCTTTAAAAGTCTCTTGTAGACAACTATCATAAGGTTGCTGTGGTTTGAAAAGAGTTGCATGGGGTAGTTTGGACTTTTTCCAGTAGTCATCCGGCGGGGAGCCACAAAGCTTGAAAATCTTGTGTAATTGTTCAACCTGAGAGAAAACAAAGAAAATAACAACCAATAATTCTAAACAAAGAAGTCAAACCAACAAAGAAATTGTTTCTACTGCAAAAGTATATTTCCCATTGTATACTTTGTTTTTTTATACGTAAACTTCAAGATCGGAGATTTGAAGACTAAGATTAAAAACAGAAAGTTTATAAATAAGTATGGTTGGTTACCTCTGTTCTCCCTTGAAGAATAGGTTTCCCCATGAGCAGTTCCGCAAATACACACCCAACACTCCAGAGATCTACAGCGGCTCCATAATCCGTTGACCCCAGCAAAAGCTCAGGAGGACGGTACCATAACGTCACAACGCGACTCGTTAGGGGCTGCCTGTGCCCGAAATTACAGAAGTTTGCCAATCCAAAATCAGCCACCTTCAAAATCCCATTGTTGCCCACCAGAAGATTCGAACCCTTTATGTCCCTGTGCATTACACCTCGCGAATGACAGTGCTCGAGTCCAGATAACAATTGCTTCATGTAGCATTTAATCTGAAAATGTAATCAACCCCGAGAATTTCAATGCAAAGGCTAATACAGAGAATACAACAATTATGTTGTCTTTCAAAAATCTATATAGTTAAAGATGAACAGACCATTAGTGTACCTGTGATTCACTGAACTTGATATCAGGACAAGATAAGAGTCCAGTAATATCATGTTCCATATACTCAAACACAAGGTATAAGCTACATGATAGTCTGGAAGTGATCAAGCCCTCCAATTTGATTACATTAGGATGATCAAGCCTGCGAAGAATCATGATTTCTCTCGCCATAAACCTTACACTCTCAGGCTCAAAATTGTCGAACCGTACCTTCTTCAAGGCAACTATCCTCCCGGTCTCAAGGTCTCTAGCCCGAAATACAGTACTGTACGTACCTTGTCCAATCTGTTACAAACTATAGACGTCACATAAGAGGAAAAAAGGGTGAAAACAGAGAATTATCAAGATCGAATTTAAACAATCACAATCAATTAAGCACATAAAAGTCAAATGAGAAAAGCATATACTAGTGGAGTCAAGAAACGATGCTTTTGAAAAGTCTCAATATTTTGAAGTACAGCCTCTATAAGCAAAGAACTTTGAGAATGTATTTTTTTGGAACTTTTTTTTCCCAACAAAAAAGCAACTTTCACAGCTGAATCCGACCAAGAACAATTTAGTTAACACAGTAAAGTTCAGAATAGAATTAGCGAAAGAAGAAGCATACACATTCCAAAAAAGAGCATTCGACAACAAAGTTAGATTCTTTTCAACTTTCATGCAAACAAAATTCTCATCTTTTTCACTTAAAAGCAAGTAATTTCTCATCTTTTCCACTTTTCATATTTAAAAAAATAATAATAATAATAATAACAAAAGAATCCTTAAGCTCATTTTGCAGCGCAAATTTCTCAAAGTTCCCATTCTTTTCTTTCTTCGACAAGGGATTAAAATATAAATAAATATATATATATATATAGAGAGAGAGAGAGAGAGAGAGAGAGAGAGAGAGGATCCACGAATTCCACAAAATGAAAGGAAAAGAAAAATCTCTAACAATGCAAGCAATATCACATCAACCGAAAACACGAACTTTGGACTACATTTCCATTTTTTATTTTCTTGGATAAGATAAAACAAGGCATCAATAAAACCGAAAACTAATCATAAAACAATCAACAAGTTCAACAAAAAATATTAATAATAGCAATGCAAACCATATCAACAAATAAAGAAAAATTTGAACCTTCTCAAGTGAAAAGGATCAACAAAATGAAATAAAAAAGTTATAAAAAAAAAAAAAAAGTCATCAGCAATGCAAAACCATTATTATCAAAACCAAAACAAAAACATAAACTTTGGACTAAAATGTCTAATTATACTTTAATTAATAATAATAATAACAATAACAAAAAAGAAAAAAACCTTCTCAAGCTTCTCATATGAATCGGCTCTTAGTGGGACCCATCCATGGATGGCCTCTCCAGCAACGGCGCTGAGCCACGCCGGCCAACCCGCCGCCACCTGCTCTCCCTCCACATACTTCTGAAGATTTCCTAATCTAAAACTCAACGACTCTCCATTACCATTACCATTGCAATTAACATTAACATTCGAACTCGCTCTTCCCGACTCACCCAACTCGCTCCCCACCAACTCACTCCCACTCCCCACCTTCCCCTTCCTCCTCCCCGACCCGCCGCCGTTTCTCTTCTCGGAAACCTCCGATCCGACCCGGCTCCGACCCGAATTCCCGTTGTTGCTGATTCCGTCCCTCAGAGCCCCGGAGTGGTCGAACGCCGGCGTCACGGACACGGCTTGCTTGGAGCTCACGCAACCCATTTTAATGGCGGAACCATAAAACCCCGGCGGTTTCGGAGCTGCCCCGGTCCGACCCAGATCGGGAAACGAGCCAAACCGAGTTAGGTAATCTCCAATTTCTCCTCTCTCTCTCTCTCTGAGTTTCGTGTGGCAGAGCGAAAATGGACGGAATCAGAGAGAAATGGTCTCTCTCTCTCTCTCTCTGAATTTCGTGTGGCAGAGCGAGAATGGACGGAATCAGAGAGAAATGGTCTCTCTTTCTCTCTCTCTCTCTCTCTCTCTCTCTCTCTCTCTCTCTCTCTCTCTCTCTCTCTGATTTCTTGTGGCAGAGCGAGAATGGACGGAATCAGAGAGAAATGGGAAATGGGGTTTGGTTTTTATACCACCACTTATTCAAGTCTACAATGTTGAAACAATCTTGTGCTCTTCTTTTTTGCCATTTTCATGTACACACTTCTCTTTCTCTCTCTAGAAAAGAAAAAGAGAGAAACTTTCTCACTTTCCCTTTTTTCGATTGTTCCTTTTTCGGTTTATCTTTCTCTCTCTAAAGTTGTGCGACAATCGCGGGAGATGGCGGACAAGAAGGGGGCGTTTGGTTTTAATGCGGTTTCATTCCCAACAGCGAAATCAACGGCTAACACATACACACACATAAACTAGTTAGTACTAATACTACTACGAACTACTTTTTACTTCTTCCATTTGTACCATTTTTTGTACGTGTTTCTTTTTTTTATATATTTTTTTCTTTTTTTAAGAGATAGAGAACAAATATATGAAAACGAGTGTGAAAATAAATGAAACGAAAGAGAATGTCAAGATTTTAGTTGGGGTTGGCTCTTGGCTGGCTGGCTGGCTGGCTGAAAAATGGGTGAGGCTCCTCTTTTTTTCTTTTCTTTTTTTAATTAGCACAGATGGTCCTAATCTCTTCAGTAAGTGATAATTTAATCCTTATTCTTTCCATTTTAATAAAATAGTCCCTAACATCATTCAATTGGTGCAATTAAGGGCTTGTTCAGTTATATTTTTAAGTTATGATGGCCTAGTGTAGATTTTAAATTAAATTTGAATTATAATTTGAGTTGAAATTATGACTTAAGTTTATATTTGGTTATGTACATTTGAGTTATAGTTTAAAATAAAAATCTTTTTAAGTTTGTGTTTGGGTGTGTCAAAATTTGAGTTTATATTAGATAATATTTTAATAAAAACTCAATGATGATGAAAATTTTTAACAGAGTATATAAGTCAATTTTTATTCGTCTCTTCATTGTGAACGCATAAAAAAGAATCATCTTAATCAAAATTAAAACAAAAAAGTTATAACGTTTTTAAAAATAAAAAAAATATTATTTATTAATTTAAGTTTGAGTTTAGGAACTTGAATTGAAAATAAAACTCAAACTCAAATGTTAACCGCAAATTCAAGTTAAAAATTAAATTCAAACTCAAATTTTATAAAAGAATATAAATTTAAATAAAATTATAATATAAATTTAAATTTTTTTTAAGTTTAGATATAAATGAACAATCCTTAAATCTTTTATGTCTAAATCTATTAAATTATTTACGTTAAAACCCATATGACCAAATTGACGAAACAAAACTGTTCTTGCTTCTTCCAAGTTCTACCTCAATCCAATAGAACATATCAAATTGAAGCACCAACACCAGAGATCAAATTGAAGCGCGAACAAAGATTGAAGATGAGAACTTCAATAACACAAATTGCCAACATACATATTATTAAAACATTTAAACTGAAAAAAAAAAAGAAGAAAAAGTATATCTAGGTTTGAAAACAAAATCAGATCTTGGCATCGCTTTCTTCTATTCACGTCATCTTCCTTCCCTCGGCGCCAAGCCCCACTTCAGATCAATGCCCACATCACGCCGCCTCCAGCCCACCGTCCATCCCTACCCCTATCGAGGGTGCCTTAGACCCCGCCGCCCCTCCACCGTCGCAGATCTTTTTGCGAAAACAAAATCACAAAACCAGAACCCAAATCCTAAGGTGGCGGCGGCGTTCGAGAGGCGATGACGAACGGCGCAATGGGGGAAGAAGAACGATGGCTGATGCGGGTCTTGAGGAAACCGGGCACCAAGTCCGCAGCGTGGAGGCGGAGGGCGGTCGTAAAGAGTGCGAGAAGAGAGGAGAGAGACAGAGTTTGTTGAGGAGAGAGTTTGTTTTCTATATTTTATTATGTTTTTTAAAGGTGTGTTCGGCTATCTAAAAAACTCAAAAAAATGCAATTCGAATTCTAATTTTATTCAAGTTCATATTTTTTTAAGTTTGAACTCGAGTTTGAGACTAAAACTCGAGTTCAAGTGTCTCCTTCAACTCGAGTTCAGAAACTCAAACTCAAATTAATGAACAATATTTTTTCTATTCTTAAAAATGCTACCACTTTTTTGTTTTAATCCTAATTGAGATGATTTTTTTCTATGTGTTGACAACGAAAAGATGAATAAAACCCCACCCATATACCCTATTAAAATTTTTCATCACCATTGAGTTTTTATTAAAATACTATCTAAATATAAATTTAAGTTTTGACTCACTCAAACACAAACTCAAAAAAATATTCTTATTTCAAACCATAACTCAAATATACACAACCAAACATAAACTCAAGTTATAATTTTAACTCAAGTTATAACTCAAATTCAACTCAAAAACTACACTTAAGTCACACTCCAAAAGAACAGGCCCTAAAATATTTAGGGTTGTTCCTTTGCAACGAAACTCAGAAAAAATTTAAATTTAAATTACAATTTTATTTAAATTTATGTTCTTTTGTAAAATTTGAGTTTGAACTCAAGTTTGAGGCAAAATTCGAATTCAAGTTTCCCTTTCAACTTGAGTTCATAAACTCAAACTCACGTTAATAAATTGTATTTTTTTATTCTTAAAAATGTCATAAATTTTTCATTTTAATTCTGATTGAGATGATTTTTTTCTATGCATTCACAACGAAAAGATGAATAAAACCTCACTCATATACCCTATTAAAATTTTTTATCACCATTAAGTTTTTATTAAAATACTATCTAAATACAAATTTAAGTTTTGACCCACCCAAACTCAAACTCAAAAATTCAAATCATAACTCAAAAGTGCACATTCAAACACAAACTTAAGTTACAATTTCAATTCAAGTTATAACTCAAACTCAACTCAAGATCATCACTCAAGTCACCTATTATGTGGGAAAATGTGCACCGACACGTTGGACGGTAATAGCGCTCCACATGGCCTGTGTTTACCACGTCAGATAGCAGTCGACGTCTGGATCGTGTTTTCCTTCCGGATGTTGGAAAGGCCGAGCGTATGGACGAATCCTTAGACCGCCGACCGTTCGAAGCCGTCGGGGCCTGTATAACGCGCATTGGAAGCACCACAAATAGAGTCAGCCAAACGAAGCTACGCCTTGTTTAGTGGTATAGGCGTCGAGGGCAGAATACGGGTTACGGGGTGCCTCAAGAAAGATCCCTGACGCAGGCATGTTGCGTCTGGGTCCAAAAGATGTCAGTAGCGCAATGATTGATTATGAGCCCCTAAAATCGCCTGAAACGAACAGTTGAGGATTACAGGATCTGTAGAGCCGTAATAGGGGACAAATTAGATGAGTGGACAATGTAAAAGGTATTGACAGGCTATAGTTTGTGCCCATAGGGTAGTATGCCACTCGAGTGGATAGGCCTACAAAGAAGAACCGCCCAAGAAGTAATCTTTGGGCTATAAAAGGGGCAAAGCCCCAAAGGATCAGCAGGACTTTTCTGATGTAATAAAAGTAACAAAAGATATATGCAATACACAATAGATGTAGCTCTTCATTAACAGAGTAAACCACTATAAAAGTTGTGCGCCTTTTGCATTCATTCAAGCACCACTTCCACACTTATTAAATTACCACACTACAAAAAGCACCTTAACAGTACTACCCCAAATTTATAATAATTTCAAGCCGGTAACCCAACAGTATACCATGAGGTAACCCGGAATAATTCTGTTGTCGAAATTCAACCGTCAACATCGCCCTAACTCAAAAATACAAAAGAACAACACCTTATTTTGTTTGAATAAAAAACTCGTGATTTTATAAAAATAACTCTTATGATTGGTCACGTGAGGGGTGACATGGTTTTAACGTAAGTAATTTGACAGATTTGAACATAAAGGACTTAATTGAACTAATTTAATGATGTTGGGGATTATTTTGTTAAAATTAAAAGAATAAAGATTAAAGTGTTATTTATTAAAGAATTTAGGGACTATCGTGTCAATTAAATTTTTTGTTTTGTTTTGTTTTTGTTTGTGAACACTCGGTTTTGTTTGCTTTTTATTCTCTCTGTTTTTTGTTTTTTTGTGTTTTCCAATAATCTACGAGGGAAAAAGGCTGGCAAGAACACTTTCCTTAGAAAAAAAGTACAAAAGAGTGGGCCCCATATTATGTGGCAGCCAATGAGAGAGCTCGTGGAGATAATTTTTTGTTTATATTGTAGATTTCTGGGCATTTTTCATTTTTTATTCTTTTAAGTTGTAGTGTGTTTTTTCGTTGGGTGGTTGTTGACTAATGGGAGAGAGGAGGGTCTTGTGAGTATATGTGTACGTGATTCTCTTCTTTCTTTTTGTTTCCTTTTTCCATTTGGGTTTTTGTTTTGGTTTGTATTTTTCTTTTTCTTTTTCTTTTTTTTTTTTGCTGAATGGTTTGTATTTCAAATTTTAAAAAAGTTTGAATGCGTCTTTGTGTTTTCTCATTTTACGTAGGAGTAGGGGATATGTGAAAGGAACAAGAGAGAAATAGCATGGCATAAGCATAACTTAAACAAACGAGATAGAGAGAGAGAGAGAAAGAGAGAGAGAGAGAGAGAGAGAGAGAGAACTGATTAAAGAAAGGAAAGCAACAGGAGGAAAAAAAAAGTAAACCCAAAGAGAGAATTCCTCAAAGGAAAATGGCCCTGGGAAAACAATCATCGCCTCACTTTTGCTTTCTCCGCTAACCTTTTGCTGCCCTTTAGTGTTCCCACCTCTGACATTTTGTGGCACTTCATTACTGCAATGGTCCCACATGTTGGAGCTATAGTGGGTCCACTAGATAATGGGACAAGCATCTCTATGCTAATTGCAAACATGAAATGAAAAATGAAAATTAAAAAAAAAAAAAAAACAATCATCGCCTCACTTTTGCTTTCTCCGCTAACCTTTTGCTGCCCTTTAGTGTTCCCACCTCTGACATTTTGTGGCACTTCATTACTGCAATGGTCCCACATGTTGGAGCTATAGTGGGTCCACTAGATAATGGGACAAGCATCTCTATGCTAATTGCAAACATGAAATGAAAAATGAAAATTAAAAAAAAAAAAACCTTAATTTATTAAAGAAAGGAAAGCAACAGGAGGAAAAAAAAAGTAAACCCAAAGAGAGAATTCCTCAAAGGAAAATGGCCCTGGGAAAACAATCATCGCCTCACTTTTGCTTTCTCCGCTAACCTTTTGCTGCCCTTTAGTGTTCCCACCTCTGACATTTTGTGGCACTTCATTACTGCAATGGTCCCACATGTTGGAGCTATAGTGGGTCCACTAGATAATGGGACAAGCATCTCTATGCT